CGCCATATCAAAATGGTTCCGTATAGACCACAGGCAAACATAGCAGAATAAGTTATTAAAAACATTGTAAAAATAATTCGCAGTTACGTTAGCACACATCACAAGCGCTGGGATGGCTACATAAATGAATTAGCTTATGCATTAAGAACGGCAAATCACGATACTACGGGAAAAACCCCAGCAGAATTATTTTTAGGCCGAAAGTTAATTACGCCTTTAGATAAATTATTCTTTGTGCAACAAAGAGAGCAAGAGTTTAAACAACAAAAGATGTGCAAAACTTATTGATCAGGCGCTTAAAAGCTCGGATACGGCAAGAAATAAGCAAAAAATATATTACGATAGAAAACGCCGTGAAGCAGATTTTAAAGTTGGGGATAAAGTATTGAAGCGGAAATTTTCTTTATCAAGTGCCCCAGACAATTTTACTGCAAAGTTAGCTCCAAAATTTGACGGCCCCTATGTAATTCAGGAAATCAAAGGAGTCGTATTATACCTTAAGAACGAGAGAGGGGAAATCTGTAAAGCAAGTCCCGACCAGGTGAAAAAATACTATAATCAAAATGATTTTGAAATCCTTAAAAGTTTCTTGCAGGACTCAAGCCTAAAAGAAGTAGAAGGTCCAGAAATAACGACAACCGTTCCACCACCCAAGAACCAGAGAACTGAAGAGAGACCTAGCCCTTCTACAACCCAGGCGACGGTACCGAAAAGAAAAAACGAAAATTTTCAGACTCCAGCATTTAAGAAAAACAAGAATGCAAAGCCACCGCGTAAAGGAACCTTGGTAAAGAAGAAAACACCACCTACAACTTATCGCAGTATAAATTATACATCAAGGAGAACGCTCCCAGGGCCAGAGAGTCAGGTGCAAACAAGGCCGCCGTTCCGGAAACTAAAAAGACAGCAGGAGGAACGAAAAGACCAGCAACAACAGAAGAAATTCAAGAAGGACTCCAGACCGGAGGACGTCAAGACCAGCCGTCCAAGGGAAAAACGAAAAAGACAGCAACCCGACGATTGCTACGACGATTGCCAAGAGGCCAGCATGCAGAGGACGCAAAAGAAAAACTAATGTGGACGACACTCGGAGGTCAGTAAGGAGAAGATTGACGTCCATGAAACCTATAACGTGGGAACAGTTTTTCCAGAAAAGAATGACGGAGTTTCAATCATCGAAAACTCAAAGATAAGTTAAAATCTTCTATAATTTTTTTCTTCTTTTGTTCCGAAATGTTATGCGTAAGTACGAAGTTCTATGTTTTGACGAAAGTCAATATGTCTCGGTTGAGACTTAGTTTTGTTTTACTTTATTTAGCTAAGGCAAAAGTATTATTTTCTTTAAGTACAAAATCTAGGAACAAGCATTTTCTGTTGGTCGAAAGACTAATTCTGTTATGTTAAAGCCAAAATTTGGCCGAAGATAAAAATAACTTCGTATTCTTGTATTAATAAGAATTTTAGTTTCAGTGCCGCCAGCTTGGCGAAGAATGAGAGTAAAGTAAAAAATTTATTTTCTCTTATTCATTTTATTGTAAATTGTAAAAATCATATGTATTAAAATTTTGTAAATATACGTAAATACTTGAAAGTTATGTAAAAGTAGAATTTAGTCTAGAAGCATAAAATTTTAGATGCTAAAAGTAAATGCTTAAAAGCAATGAATTCAAATTTAAGTATTAAACTGTAGATAAAATCATGCTTTAGAGCGAAAGCCTGCATGTCTAAAGATGAATGAGGGGGAAATTTAGAATGAATGTGTTTTGTAGGGTTCTCCACCTACACTTGAATTTTAAGAATGTTAAAGTAGCTCATCGAGTTGTAGAATGTCGAGTAAGGTGTGTCTATTTGGTCGTTGAATTCTAACAAATCATGGTGGTTAGGGAAAGTGTTGCAATACTAAAACACGAATATTTCCCGTTTGACACCACACATGGTGGAGAGCCAGGGTAAAGTTAAATTAATGTTTGAATACTTGAATGAATGTGAATTAAGCAGTAACTAAGGAACACGAATCGTTTAAAAACAAAAATTTATTCAGTGTCAAGAAAGTGTAAATTATAATGTATTTAGAAAGATACTGATACTTATTCCTTCCAGATGCTGGAAGGAAAAGAACAAGATTGATTGCTGAAGTCCAGGAAAGGTTCCTGTAAGAAGAGATGGTAAAATGATGTATCTACAGAAATTTATTCTAATTTTTGAGAAAACAGTTTGTTTTATGTAAACGAGGCTCTTGAATTTTAGTTCAGAATGTGGAAACTTTTCAACAGGCCGTTTCTAGGACCTACTTCCAAGTTTACCAAATTCTGGCAGCGGCAAATGTAGGGTTTATATTTATTTTAACTAACATTTATTTTAAGTTTAAACTATCTTTCCTGTCAAGCCTTACTTTCCCCTGGAACTGCCAATGCCAGAGTATGTAAATTTTAGTAGAACGCGCAAGGATTCAAATTATCAGCGGAAGTATTCTGAGTTAAATAGAATGGAAACGAGTTCGAGGTGTGCTGTTCTTACTTCACGAGCGTGAGGTAGTTAGCCAGAAATTGAAGAACCCCGCGTTTCGGCCTGTGTGCTTGCCTCGGAGAATTGTTAATCGTTCAACGTGATATTCAAAGTTTGCTGAATTAGCAGCGGTATTGTAAAACGCGGTGAGGTTAGTTACGTTTAGAGAGCCTCGTAGTTAGAGTCTTGTTATTATTTCTTTTCAGGTTCTTATTTTTATTTTACCGCCGGGTCGGCGTAGTTTGTGAGCGTCAAGAGCACGCAATTGTAATTTCTTAAGTTGAATAAAAAGGGACTTAAACCCTTAGCAAGACTTTGTCTAAATTCCAGTTTCAACAGTCACCTCTTGGTTGCGTGCAGGTTGGAGGCGCGCAACTCTACACTTTAAAAATGTCTTTCATTTACATTATTTCACAAAATTAAATATAAGTTCACTTTTTTCCCTTTCTTTTCTCCTATATTGTTCACTGTTTATATTTATAATTAATTCCGAATTTCAGTAATGTAATGTCAGTAATCAATTGATATACCACACTTGTTGTTCAGCATTTTTCTTTTAATCCATTCAAAAAAGCCTCGAACACAGTACATCTTAAATCGATAATCGTCACCACCCATAACCATTGTCTATAAAACAACTACCTTCACAGAAGACTAAAATCTTCTGGACAACATAAATTTCGTCTCATACAAGATCATTGCCTTTATTATAATGCGGGTAACATCCGTGTTAAGAGGCGAAGAAGATTCGTGGGAATTGGCTTCAGATTTGTCCATCAATACACTTTAGAGTTTTGAAAAGCAATTACCTTAAGCTAGTTGATTAATCTTAGTTACGATGGTATATAAAAGTAACCAAAAAACGTTTTTGCTGAGTTTCCTGGATATAATTTAATATATAGAATACGAACATGTCTTTTGGGATTTGAAACAACAACGGCTGCAAGAGAGGCAAAAGTTTAAGAATACTGATTGACGAATTCAAGCAGAGAAGGGTATAAGGAATTACTTACAGTGAGTACTTTAACGTTTTCTTATTCTGTAAAGACGGAGCTCAAATCTCAAAAGTCTCAGAGTCTGTTTTATAGGAAAATAGGATAATGCTTTTTATCTCTTCTCTAATAGCTAAATGCATCCATCATACATAAATTAATGTAAAAGAATGTACAAGTGATTGAAAAGTCTCAGACGTAAAATAAGAAAGTAACATTTGCGGGTATAATTTACAAATTGCAGAACATAAAATTTTTATTACTAATGTTTATTGTTTTACATCGAACAAATGCAACATCAAACCACGTCCTTACAACTTAACGTTCGCAATGGCAAATCTCTTCAGTGAAGCATGCGCGGGTGCATTCTACTATGATTGAGGCCACTGCGTGGAGCACTTGTACACAGTACCATAGTAACGTTTCTCATTAGGTTTTGAAATACATGCAAATGATTTGTATAGGCCTTTCTTTTAAGATTCCCCCAAAGAAAAGCAAATCCGTGGCTGATAAACCAAGTGAATAAAGGAGCCATAATCTTTTTGGAATGATTATGGCTCCTTTAAACCTTCCGAAAAACCCAAGGAAAAAGTGCTTAGTTTCACTGGGTGTGAATAGCGGCGCCATCTTGCTGGAATAAACACTTATATTCATCGACTTCGAGAAACGCAATAAGCTGTGTAATTATGTCTTTGTACATTGACCAGTTAAGTATCGCTCAGCGATAAAAAAAACAACAAAATATTATTCAACAATGAAAATTAATTTCTTCTGGGAAAACGACATGTCCACTTAGCAACACGATTAGAGCTATGCAGAAGATATAATATAACCGTTAGACGAAACATGACGTGTATACTAATTGTTAATATTCCAACAATGCCGTTTAGCAACAGTTGGTATAATTATTTCAATTGCAATTAAATTTATTTAAAACGCTTATTTTATATCTGCAACCTTTCAATCATCCTGTATAAGGAATCTAGGTATGTGATTAGCAATGAGGTACTTGCATTTATCATGACGATTCACAACTTCATGGTGAAAGATTGCAACCTCACAAATTTTATTTCAAAATAAACTGGTAATTTAATTTTTAGTATCAGTCAACGAGCACTAGCATATTTCCTTACCTCTAGAGGATTCATTTACAAAGTTAGAGTCAATATTTCACTCTGCTTAAAATACAAACATAAAATAATTAGTCAGATTTGTAGTATTTACCAATTAAAAGACTTAATAAGGTTATCTGCGGTATGACTTGCTAGAAAATTCAAGCAAGACTTTCAGTATCCACTCTCGACTGGGTTTTTGAGCCCAATATTCCACGACAAGCGGTTCCATTTCCCAATTTTTACAGTTCCTAAAACGCGATTAACCATTCTTACTTGAAACTGGACTGCTATCTGGCTGAGTGCATATTTCATAAAGTCGCTAAAAATTTATTATTATTATTATTATTTAAAAAAAAAACTTTTGTATCTATTTTTATATTCAATTTAGGGATTTAATGATGTCGTTTACCGAACTCGAAGAAGAGAAATTGCACAAATCGCCTTTGATTATAAACAGTAAGTAATTAAGCAATGATGTTATATATGTTTCCTACCTGCTGTCTTATCTAATTATATCTTCATATTGTGATGTACGTTCCTATAATTATAATATCGTCGCTTCATTTGTAGGGTTTTTATGTTTATTAAACAGTTATCTCATCATTTTACCTTTACTTTGACTCTTACTTCCTTCGGCTTCCACTAGAATGCAAATTAATTTATTTAACAAATGGCGTACTTAAGTTCGAGAAAAAGAGAGCTTTTAGTAGCATTCGCTGACCATCTCGCCACTATTTCTTCCAACCACTGAATTACTTGAATCGGTTGTCCGTAATTGTTCGCGTAAGTTTCAAAACCGGTGTCAAAGACTGTGGACGTGTTAGGCCTTGTAAATTTAATACTTGAATTTTACTTAAACTTTTCTTTCTATTATTCCCGCATGCCTCTTAGCTTTTGTGTAGTTTTTTCGCTCACGAACTTAAGATTTTCTTTTATGTTGACGTTAACGTTACGGAAAGATTAAGATAGTGAAATAAGTCGTCTCGCTGTCTTGCACGGATTTAGAAACTAACTTTTAAAGTAGTTAGGATCCGTACACATTAGACTAGAATATAGAAATAAAGTTACTAATGTAGCTAATGTTAAAATATTTCAGAAAAACTAAAGTTAAAATATTTCATAAAATAATGAAGAGATATGGCACATTTTCTCGGAAATAATAAGATCTGGGATATTGGTTAATGGACGTACGGAGCCACTGATGTTAGAAAAACGAACTGTGATTGCTTAGTATTGTTATTTGAAAGTTATTGTACCTCATATAAGTGATTTTTGTAGTTCTTCTGAAAAATTATTTATTTTCATGATTAACAATGTTCATTGCCTCGCCTGTATTGTGTTGCTGATTTGCTGCAATAAGACTGAATACATAGCGTAATATTCTCGATGTAAGTTCTATACAAAATGTATGATATATTTCCAATGTGTAAAGTAAATAAGAACTAGCTATTTTTAGAAAGTCCTCCATTAAAATAATTTTAGGTGGATAATCCTTATGTGCTTTTCCGCAACTCATTGAACAAACATATGCATGGTATGATCCTGGAAGGTGCCTTTGCAGAAACAATCCCCAACCGTTAAGGATTTTAAGTTTTACAAACATTTATTTTATTTTAAAACTTTGCTATCCTCTCTTATTTTCCGTTTCCGGTCATAATAAAAGCGATTAGTTTTGTTTATGCAAATGAGCTTGCAAACTGTTAAGTATTTGAGATATGGCTTTTAGCCAAAAGAGAGAGTTAGAGAGAGACTTCTTGCTGCCTTACCACGCGCGTGCTTTTCAGTCAGTTTCTGCCTGCCTTTAAGATCAGAACTTAATTCTCGCTGATACTTGAACACGTATTGTAGTTTCCTGCATTCTGCTCACTATATACGTGGAGTTAAAAGGCCAATCTTCGCGTTACTAGCCTTGTAAAGTATCTAAGTTTAATTCTTATTTAGTTAAGTTAGTTTTACTTCTTACTCGTATTTTCTATGTTTTAGACCCTAAGTGCTGGTCTTTGTATCCCGAAGTGCGGGAACGGCTGTAAACTGTGAGAAATAAAGGGTAATTTAACCCTTCTCATTCTTGTCGTATCTTCTACACACACGAGCATAGTTTCAGTAAGCTCCCTGCTCCTATTCAGGATTTGCAGATGTTTTTCCAAAGGCTATAAAAAGAACGGAAGTCCTGACAACCGAATGGGAAAATATGCCTTAGGCTCTTCTCGGATCTTTAATCTTATTAAAATCATAAACCTCCGATATTCCACTGCAATTAAGCGTGGACAACTATCACATTAAATTTTCGAATAAACCTTATTCCTCGTTTTTAGCACATTTTGCTTTTTTTTAATTGATGGCCAAACATGGTATGTTTTCCTTCTGTATCGCTTTTTCCCCCTCCGTTAAAAGCAAAACATATACTTCATTCGTACATAGTATTTATGTTACATTTGCCCTTACCTTGTGTTAAAATATTTTCAAAAACATCCTCTCATAGCCTTTCAAAACATTTATCATTGCCTTTAAATATATTTCATCCTCAGTTTATAGACACACGCACTTCTCAGAAAACAAAATCAAATTGCTTAAAACTATTGTTTTCCTTACAATCTACTTATTTGTCGAGTGCTGGATGTATTATGTCAATAATGCTCAAACTTATTCCTTTTGTAAGTAAATTAAAGGCTTTAAGAAATATTTTATTAATTATGAAATTTGTTCGTCCTATTTTTCAATTCACTTATTAAACACCTTTTGTCTTCTTTGGCCTTTTAACGAAATGCTATGGCTTTCAATATATCGAAATCATTTCCTTCATCTCTTCATTAAAAATAATTTTTTTCTTGCAATTATAAACAGCAAAGTTCTTTCTCTTTCTACTGCTCTGTTCTCAGTTTTATTAACTGTTATCATGTCGAACGGTATAAGATTTGAATTTGTCTTTTAATTTAAGTTATATGTTATTTCTAGAAAATGAGAAGTTTTGTTGAGAAAATATTGTGACAATTTTTAGCTAAATATTTTACACATCAGAGAACCTAGACTTATTTATAACGCGTTGTTAATGCAAAGCCTTAAATTTTCGATTTATGAATAGATTTCCATGAAATGAAGAAATCTGTAGTTTTTCTGAACTTTACAACACACTTAATATTTCATTTTCAGAAAATAATAAAAAACAAGTGTCTAAATTAGCGGACAAAAATTTCTTGAATTAATCGCATATTTCCTTTCTAGTTACCCTTCTTTATTTTTTAACCTCTAATTTATTTATTTGTTGCTTTTTTCCGATACCTGCAAAACTCAAATTCTATGCCTGAAATATTTTTATTTAGTTGGTTTGATTTAGGCAAAGCACACAAGGGCTATCTGCTTAAAGGGATGGATACTTTCGTGCAGGACATGTGCAATGCAAATATGGCTCATATTTTAGTTGCACATGAGAATAAGGAAAAGGCAGTGAAACGCCCTTGCAACCAGCGTCTTCGCTGGGATTGGAACGCGGTTCTGTATCTCCTTACATTCCGCAAATAAAATTATTTCTTTTTACGACTTAACCGCTCTTAAAAAGCCAGAGAACACATTAAGCGGGTCAAAGAACCCACGTGGCTTGCGAGTCACAGAATGGTCATGCCTCCTGAGTTAGTGTTTTTGAAGTTCTCCGAATATAACAAAAAAGTTTACCTTTCATTGTGATTTGCAAATAAAAAATGCCTGCGACTTCCTTCACATTAGGGAGTTAAGTTAAATAAATATTTAACACAAACAAATGTAGGAAATAGCATTTCTTTAATTTGAATTTATTCTCTCTCCACCTAAAATGTAGATATTGAATCACTTGCCAATAGCAGCAGGGATTCCCTGTTTGTTGAAGGTAAAGCAGGCTACAGCAGCCACCCAGAATTTTGCGTACTGGGACATTCTCTAGGAATTCACTATAGTTTAATATCATACTCTTCCAAAGATAGATTGCAATAACTCTATTGATGATGAACATCTTTGGTATCCTTGGATCACCCTTAGACCATTCTTGGAATCTCTTTTGATGACCGTCCATTCATAAGATTCATGTCCTACTTTTTTAAAGATGAGTTCTGGTGATTCTTTTGATTCTCACCCATCAGCACCAACGAGCTAACAACAGGTAACCTTTTGGAGTGATTATTTTTACGTTATAGGTTAAGCCAGTAATGTAACGCTTAAGTGAACACATGAATTTAGTTTTTGTGAGAAATTATATTTGCACTATCTTCACTCAAGATAGCGAAGGAGATGAACTATCAAAGATAATTTTGCAAAGGCATCTTCTCAAACTAAATCGAAAGTGAAATGACGTACAACCTTAACTCGTTTTATGTACTTCTAACATAGTACACTTTTATTCTTTGTATGCTTTAGACTTCATGGCACTAACCGACTCATTTTATTGCAGCAATTCTGCATTAAACCAACGGATCGGTGCCACGTAGTAAACAATATTTCCTCGTTTGGTATCTCTGTGCAATATTCTGTTAATTCTTGCAATGTTTTAAATTAACTTTTCACTATTACATTGAGATTGCTTCCTATCAGAATCGTAAAATTGCTTCTAAGTGTTCTGTGGCATAAACTATACAGTCAATTCCAGATTAGCTGAGGGCGGAGAAACCAAGCCCTGTCTAAGTAAAATCAGATTTCTTTATTGCACAGGGTTAGAAAAAATGACTATTATAAACTATCATTTACGTAAGCAAAGAAATTTATTCTCCATATTAAAATGCCTGAAAATGGCAGTAAATTGTTAATAAGATTTTTCTGTCCCTTAAAATATTAGTTTTTCCTCTTCGCCCAGTTTTTACTTCCTCGCACGAAGTAAAGGAAATATTGCAACCACGCAAAAATTTCAAATATCATATTTCAAGAGAAATATCCATTTTGATCCTTGCCGAATCAATTTGGACAGTTTTTTTGCGCTACATCTGTACGTACGGACAGAATAAATGACTGCTTTTCCCCGGATTGTGAAACAAACTTCAAATGTGTTTAAAAGAGATTTTTTCGTGACATCTGTACGCATGTATGTATGTAGGTATACATATACGTAATATGCATGTATCTCGCATAACTCAAAAACGATTAGCCGTAGAATTTTGAAATTTTGTATATGGGACTGCGCACCTCTCTTTTTTATTACGGCCAATAGAACCGAATGTATATACATATCTAAATCTATCTATATATATATATCTATATCTATGCATTATATATGTATACCCACTCCCTTACCCGACTTAAAAGTCCTTACCCGGCCTTTAATTTCGCAGTCTTTGGTAGCAGTCATTTATACTTCCAATTAAAGAAGTGTTTTAAAAGACGAAAATATTCTTGTTTTGGCGAGTCAAATTTTAAAAAATAATTAATTTTGGGCAAACAACAAAATCTAACTCTTAAAGCGGCCTCCCAGTTCCCATACTTATGATTTGGAAAGTTTT